GGAGACCTCGGAGGCTGCAGGTTGAATCCTGCTTCCTTCACAAGCACCTTGCCAGCCAGCAAACCTGGACTCAGGTTGCCCCAGCGTGGAGCAGAGATTGGATTTTGCAAAGGCAAGCACCGTTTGCAGGGTTTGTATTGCAGAAACTTCCACACAGCAAAGAGCTGTACGCGGGTCAGGGCAGCTCCTGGGTACAGTCACCCAGAGCAAGTGTACTATGATGCCCTCATAAGCTTGACTTGTCTACAAGAGGCAAACATGCCTCTCTGACAAGCCTACGATGCAGTGGCTGAATACAAAAACGCTTCGCCGCGCCAGAGCAAAGCTTCCAGATCCGTCCTCGCTGCTTGAGAGGGTCAGCTGAATCCCTCCAAGCTGTCTCCCTGGGGCTCCCTGTGCTTTCCTTACTGCAGAGACAAAACACAGGAGCAAACATAGCCTTGTTCAGCTTGGCTTCATCGTCTCCACAGGGCCTCGTATTTGCAGAGAGCTGTCTTGCTGGAAGGTGGCTGGTGCAGCTAGTACTGCTAGCAAACCACTGCAGAGAGCTGGGGGTGCTTTTGGTCTATGCTTAGACCCGGCTTTGGGGCTAGGAAACACCTCCCAACCATTTGCCATCACCAGGAGCACCTTCTGGTCACTGTTTGCTCAACACCCGTGTAAGATGAAGCCAGAGCCCCGAGTGCCACAAAACCCAGAGAGAAGATGAGCAATGCATCAGCAGTGCCTTACCCAGGGGATCCTGTTCCTCGGGGACACTTGTGCAGAGTCTCACCTCAGCAGAACATGCCTTGCAGATACGTGGCTCAGAGCAATCCTCGGGGGCTGTTCAGCATCTGCCTCTCCAGCCCAACAGCTGGGTGGCCCTTCCCCACCCGAGAGCATTCGGGGCTTGAATCTGTTAACACTGTCCCCAGAAGAGGAGGCTGGTTACACAAACCCAACAGCAAGGAGGTACCAGCCACATCAACAGAGAAAAAAAAAAAAAAAAAAATGCAGTGAGCATTAATTAGGAAATAGTGGCTGGAGGGCTTTTTGCTTTCTCCATTTCGAGGAGCTCACTCCTGCCTGGAGGATCCTGTTATCTCAGTAAATATTGCTAATAATTGAGGCTCTGTCTGCTCACCACAACACTGTCCAGCTGCTGGGAGCATTTAGAGACATCTATGTTATTTCTCAGCCAAAGCTGCAGTCTTAGCCTGGGGTGTTAGTTGAGCGCCGAATAATTCTGCCCGGTCTCACTGATTAATCATACAGTTAAGTCTTGCAGGGTGGGACTGTATGAAGGAAAGCCTCTAACTAGCCAACTAATTTAAGAAGTTGCTGAATGCACAGCCCAAGAGCAACACTCATTTGTTTGTATTTCTTTATGCCAGTGTGCTGTAAAATGTGCTTTTCCCAAAGCACTCCAAAGGGCAAGGAACAGAGACCCCAAGCTGGCCTTACTTGTCCAAGCAGCCCACAGCTATGGAGAACAGATTAATGCCTGTCCAAGGCTGGTTTAAAAACATTCAGCAAGCCCTGTGTTTTGGCAGAAAATCAGGGGTTTGATGGGGAGAAGCTTGTCATTGTTTCTTTTGTTTGCAGTGAAGGAAAAGGTCTCCAGCTGAGGTCCTGGGTGCACTGTGAGGAACAGGGGACCTTCTGCTGGGGTGTTTCACCTCCCATCCCAGAAGGTCTCCGTGCACTGTTCGTTTGGGGATAGTCTGTCTGGTCTCTCAACCCGTAAGCAGCTGCATGTCATCCATCTCTCTGGCGTGTTCCTACTCTTGTGGGCTTGAGCCATCGTGGGTCCCTTCTCTTTCATTCTTTTTAAACTTGCCAGGCATGTAAAGGTTAACTCCATTTTCCTTGCTGTCAGGAATAAACCTCTCCCCGCCCTGCAACCCCAAACAATTATTCCTATTTATATCCCTGTATTAATCAGAAAGGCTAGCACTTCTACGTCTACGTGATTAAAAATTAGGAGACCGGATTCTGTAGCGGTGCCTTATAATAATAGCCAATCCTGGGAGCACAGTGAATGAATAATGGATCGTGGCTCTGTGCTACTGGGTTCTTGCTTTCCCTTCTTTCTTCTCCCCTTGTTACCTTTTTCTCTTCCTCCTCCTCTCCCAGGCTGGAGTCTGTGTGGGGAAGGAATACATCCATCCTTCATTCTGCAGAAGTTAGAGCTGTTGAGAGACATTGCTGATTCCTATTCATCAGATCCTCTCCTCCCCGACCAGATCCCCTGGCTAGTGAGCCTGGAGACCATCAATAATTCATGGCTACGTGAATAACTCAGGGATGATAACCACTTACTCGGGAAGACATAATCAGGATCCATTCTCTTTTCTTCTCATCTCCTTAAGCAGCTCCCCAAGTCTTGCTGCTATTCCAATAGAGAGAAACAGGAGCAAAACAGTAGGTTAGAAAGCAAAGTTTTCTGGCACAGGGAAGACAAGTGGTTCCACGTTTGTCTGCATTGGGTGGTCCCCTGTCCCGTGATGTCCCCTAGGTTTCATGGGCAGCTAAGGGGACAGGCTGGATTGCTTTGAGGGACTGCAAAAAAAAACTCTTCAGATGTCAGCCAGTGGGACCAGTCATTTACAGGACATCAGTCAGGAATATTAAATATCTCACTGCAAAAGTCCCTTCATTTAATTCTAAGATGCTCTTCAGAGAAAGGCTTGTGGGTTGTTTTTTTCCCTGCTCCACAAGATGAATTTCCAATATTTTACAAGCTGAGGTCAAATTCAATTAATAGCTTCAGTGAGGGGGAAAAACTATTGAAAAGTTTCTGGTTTTTTTTTTAAAAAAAAAAAACAGTATAAATTCATCCAATGAAAGGGTGTTTTTAAAAAGTGAAAATAAATAGTTCTTTAATAGTTAAATAGCATCAAAATGAAGCAGAATTTTCCATATTTTCATATTTCAGAGGCTGATGCATTTCAACTAACCCAAACCACAGATTTTCACATTTTTTTCACTCTTGTAGCCTGAAAAAAATGTACATTTTGGATCCATGTTGAAAAGCTTTTTTCCCCCCAGTCTCAGGGTTCCACCCACTGAGCTGAAAAATCCCATTACTCACAGCGTTTGGCAGATGTGTATGTGACCAGTGTTGTGTGCAACCAGCACATCTGCCTTGCCTACAAATCCTGTGCCGATGCAAGCAGCCACCTTTGAATTGTCAGAGAACATAATCCCTTTCCATCTCCTGATTTCAGTCCAGCGCTGGAGGAGCCAGTGAGGAGTTTTTAAATATTTCTCAGCCAGCTAAAACACTGGGACAGCTCAGGAGCAGAAGCGGAGGCGTACTGGGGGATTTCAGAGAGGGCTTTGGCCAACTTTGACGTTCGCTTTGCACGGCTCAGCCTGGTGCCAGCCAGCTTGGGGAGGGGGAACGAGCACTGACTCACAAAAGCAGCTCCACTTTGGTGGAAAACTGGCAGGTTTCCCCCAGCTGCATCCCCTCAGTAAGGATGCTGAGGGGTAGGAGGCTTTTGCCACCTGCTTCTGAGCTAGGTGTGAAGCAGCAGTTTCTTCCTCCGTCCTTTGCTAGCATGAGATCTTCTGCTCGGGCAAGAGGGGTTGCAACGGAGATGCCTTCCACTGTGTCCTCTACATTTCTGCTGGCTTCCCAGTGCTGCAGGGGCCCCAAGAGCTCCTGAGATGGATGGGCAACACATCTATCTGTAGCAAGAGCAGCGTTTGGTTTCCCAAAGGATCTGGTTGGGAAGAGCTAGACTGGAAGCTGTACAGACCTCTCCACCTTCAGAGCAGGTCTTGGCTAGACAGGGTAGCGGAGATGAAAAGTCCTCTCTGCAGGATGAAAGGACAACCTCTCACTCCAGCTGAATTTCCCATCTCGTACCATGCTGGGAGTGTTCAGAGATGCCAGGCTTCAAGAGCTAGTCACAAAAGAGGAGACCATGCTCACCCCTCATCTGCTCCCCTGTCTGCATCCCTCCTTGTCTCTGGCACGAAGTGCTTCCCAACACAAGAAACAGATGCCCAGGGGCTGTGTGATACCAGCAAAGCCACGTCCTGTAATGAGGATGCAGCCTCACACAGGCTGTCAGGCTGAGGTGGCTTCAAAGGAAGGTTCAGATCTTAAATGTCTCCTTGACACCCCCAGCGAAATCTGCTTTCACAGAGGGAGACGCTTAAAAGACTCACCGTGGCAAGAGGGAGTCTGACCGAATGAGAGGAGTTTCACAGCCTTTTGTGCGGCGAGGCGGCAGTGCAGGCGAGGAGTGAGAGCAACACAGAAATCAAAGCAGAGCAAGGGAGTGCTCAGGGGTTCCTCCATCCCTCTGTCACGGAGGGCTGGCAAGGGAGCCCTCTTCAAAGGCAGGCGTCTGGAAACCACACTCCTGATGCCCATAAGAAGCCGTTCCCCCTCCCCCCAGTGCAACAGGTAACCATCCAGATCCAGCCCCCCTGCCCTTCTCCTCCAAATTGCCCTCGTCTACCTTCTAATTTGCAGCCAGAGGCACAGGGGTCAGACCAAAGCCCCTTCAAGCCCCATCTCTTGTGTCCAACAGCAGCCAGTTACGGTTGCCCGGGGAGGAATAGAAGAGCAGGACCAGCAAGCAGGGGTATTTCTTTCAAAAACTCACCGTCCTCCCAGTTTGCAGCTCAGGGACATCATGGGCCAGAGGTGTTTCTGAGTATTTAGTAGCCCTTGGGGGATTTCTCTACCACAGGCTTGATCCTTCATATTACTGCAAAGCTCATGCAGCCACCTGGTGCACTTCCCCTCTAAAACTTCAGCCAGTTTCTCCAACTGTAGTTCAAATCTGGGGCACAGCTTTCACATGAGCAGCAAAAGGCAAGCTGGCCATGATGTGGTGAGATGAAGTTACATGCTGCCACAGCCACATCAAAGCCAGCTGTGGAGGTTTGAGAGGTCACAGTCCAGTCCTGGCAGCCCAGATCCCCACAGGTAACTCCAGGAAGGTTGGGTTAATGCTAGCAAATGACCCTGTCTCCTCTGTGCTGTTTCCTTGCAGTTCCTCCAGATGATCCTGTCATTATGGGGGGGCCCATCATCAGCCTGAGAGCAGGAGACCCCCTCAACTTGACCTGCCACGCAGACAACGCCAAGCCAGCAGCCTCCATCATCTGGATGAGGAAAGGAGAAGTCATCAATGGAGCCTCCTACTCTAAGGTGAGGCAGGATGGGGCTGGGGACAAAGGCTGTGCTCTTTCCTTGCTTCAGAAAGGTGTGCCAGGCCTGACGCTGCTCTTCACACAGCCCCAAAACATCTAGGGCAGCACCTCCAGCTCTGCAGAGCTGAGACTCACCCTGCCTCACCCCACATCACCCCATACAGCCTTCCCGATGGAGAGGCTGGGAGGAAAACAGTCAGGAGGTTGCAAGTGAGAAACCACAAACCCCAGCTGGGCTCTGCTCTGAATTTGGCTGGCTTTTTGTACCCCCCTCACAGCTTATAATTGCCAGGCATGCCCAACTCTCCCCCCAAAATCCCACCTGGGTGTGATGTTAATATTGTGTGCAGCACCACACAGCCAACACTGACCCGGCCTTGGCGATAGCAAAGCCTCTGGATCAAAAGGTGGTTGCAGTGACCTACCTCCTCCAACGGCAGTTTTCCATGCAAAATTTTCAGGGTTGTTGGCATTTTTTAATTTAAACAGAAAGCCTTTATTGGGTCGTAAAGGAAAACATCAAAGAGCAATCAACAGTGTACTCAGAATGGGTACCCACAGGTTCTCCTGTTTATAGACACCTGATGTCTGCTAAGCGCTAAAGATTCAGTAACACTTGACATTTCTGATGAATATTTCTGAAGAACAAAAATTGAGACATAAAATGGGTCAGTTTGCAGCCATTTGTAATGCAAGCAAACTTGAAAGTCAGGAGTCAAAGGCATTCCTCTCAAGCTCCTGAAGATCTTTTAATAAAGATTTCACCCTCTGCTACCATTGTGAAGCCTCCATCCAGCCTCCTTCCAGCAACATCCCAAGCTGCTCGGGAAAGCAGAGGAGCCAGAACACCCTCCTCTCCTCCCTGTCACTCTGCAGAGCACACGGTATCTCAGCTGAAGCTGAGCTGCCTCTTTGTAGCTGATGGGTGTGAACGGAGGGGGGAAATTGCCCCATCTCCCTGCGTGCAATGCAAAAGGCAGCACTAATTAAAGCTGGGGCGAACTGACCTCTCAAATCAAGTGGAATTAATTAAAATGCAGGCCACTGACATGCAGTTGTTTATAACCTGTTCCATTCACCCCAAGCCTTCCTCCCCACTGCAGACTGCTCAGATCTGGCCCTGGGGAGCCAACATTTAAGCCCTTTTCCCTTTCAGGCCCACAAGCAGTGGGTAGCAGAGAAGGAAGAATGCCTGCCCCTCCTTTATTTTTCTTTAAAATACTTCCAACAAAAAAACCTTTCTGAAGCAGAGCTTTTCAGGCTGCAGCTCCATCTTGCATGCAGTAGAGATTTCCATAGCATTTTAAGCAGTTGTCAGGGATGGAAGCATATTCCTCTCCTCCTGGGGTCAGGAAGAACCTCAGTTTCTGAGGCTGAACTTCAGTTTCTCCTGACTTACTGGAGGTCTCCATGAGGCCCTTCCACAAACACATCCCTGCCACAAGCAGGGAAAAGCAACCAGCTGCATCAGCACTTGTCACCATAGGTGCCACAGTCCCCCCCACACACACACACAGAGGAAACCTTAACTTGATCAGCTTTGAAAAACAGCCTTCAGAAAAACTAACAGCCAGTTTTAGACGGTTTTGGAACAGGAGGCTTTGATTTGGGGGGTCTGAGAAACCTTTGCCTTTTGAAGTCCCCTTGAAGGTCATTCCTCAACTGTCCTCCTCCTGCTTTTTCAGTAACACTAAAACCCAAGCCAGATTTCATTTGATCCAGATATTCCAGTCAGCCAAGAAGAAACCCTGTTCAGGTTACTGATTGCCTGAAACCATTTATACTGAGTGATAATTTCTTTGTTTTTCTGAATTTCCAATCCAGCAACTGATTAATATGCAGCCTCCCTGCAATCACAGCCAGACAGTACAAAATAGCCACAGCTGACTGACAACCCCCATACTTACCCTGATCCCTATTTGAAGGGGACAGGGAATGGTCCCTATAGACATAGGGGGTACTGGAGGATCCTGCAGGGTTTGGAGGCTACTCCAAAGCTCAGGGGTACTGTTGGGGGGAAGGTCCTGCCACAGGCTTAGGGTTCACCACGTCCTCAGCACCAAAAGTGGGGCTGTTCCCTGAGGGAAGGGCACACGGTGTGACAATAAAGCAAGCGCAGGGCGGCACAGCATCCTTACCACCAAGGGCACAGCACCAGCACAAGAGGAGCAGAGCCGATTTGGTGGTTGTAGAAGGGTCAACCACAGCTCAGCAATCTCCAGGATGGCCATAGCGATTGAGGCAGCTCTGAAGTCAAGCCAGGAAATCCAGCCCACACCACCACACCCAAACCAAGCCTTAAACTGGATCTGGAGCGTCAGTACAGCTCCTGGGTTTATGGGGGTAGAGCTCTTGGGTGGAGCGCCCAGGTGAAGTTTGTCAGGGTAATTAAGCACTGTTGGTGCACTCGGGCCCTGATGAGCATGTATTAATAGGTCTTGGTCCTGCTTCTCCTCAGCTTCTGGGGCTGATTGTGGTGATAACTTCTTGGCACCATTCTTTGTCTAGTGTGCCTGATGAAGCACAAGCCTGTGTGCATGAATGCTGGTGTCACGATGAACCCAGGTGGTGAAAGCGTTAGTCTTGCTGCCGTATGTTCATAATTTAATAAAGCACTTATCTTACCTCGTGAGGCGGAAACATGAAGGATACAGACATTGAGAGAAAAACTGCCTGGCAGGGTCCAAAATACATAGTTATGGGATGGGTGTATCCATGGGCATTTACCACTATTATCAACAGCTGGGAAAAGCTGTGTTTCTGGCATTTCTGGTCCCAGCAGATGTTGATAAACAGGAGAGAGGTCAGAGGAAAGCCCAGAGAACGATTAAAAGATTGAAAACCGTGCAACTTCTTGAGAGCCTCTGAGGGCTCGATCGGTTTAGCGTACCCAAGACAGGGCTACAGGGTGACGTGACCACGGTCTGTCAGAACTTGCAGGAGGATTAGGAGTTTGATAAAGCAGGGCTCCTGGGGCTCGCCAGTAAAGGCATGGCAAGGCACCACGGCTGGAAGTCAGATAAGTCCAGGGAAAAAAGAAGGTGCCGAGGCTGAGCAGATAGAGCTGGTTAACCACTGCTGTACCAGGTTTTGGATCTCCAGCATCCTCAGGTCCCCAGCACGGCGATCACCGGCATGAGGTGGGCCAGAGTGGTGATGATTTACCATGGGCTGGGCTGGACCACTGCACAGCAGGCAGGGACCCATGGCCAGGATGAGTCCTGTGGTGCTGGCACTCAGCATCACCACTATGTAAAGTGGCCCGGGAAGCTTTTTGCACTCACCTGGCGTAGGTGCAGAAGGTGACAGCAGATTCAAGGAGCTGGTTGCCCTGCCTGTCCCCTGGATCCCTCTTTCCTGGGACCGATGGGTGACATGTACCTTGGTGGAGCGGTGATTCCCAGCTCTAGGCACAGCGGGGCTGGAGGGAAGCAGATGGGAGTTAAGTGCCCAGGTAAGTGTAGTGAAATTTGTCCCTGCTATCCCCTAAGGCTTCTTGGCAGATTCCAGCCAGAGGAACTGTTACTGCAGAGCACACTGCTTGGCTGAGAAACTCGGAGGAGCAAGGGCTAGCTGTGCAGAGCCTGGCATGAGGGGAAGGGGCCCCTCTCCTGTAGGGCGCTGCCTTTTCTCATCTCTGTTTCTCCCCCCACAGACACTTCTCCGCGATGGCAAGAGGGAGAGTATCATGAGCACCCTTTTCATCGCCCCCTCCGACATTGAGAACGGGGAGAGCATCGTCTGCCGCGCCACCAACAAAGCCATTCCCAGTGGGAAGGAGACCTCTGTCACCATCGATATCCAGCGTGAGTACCCGGCCGGCTCAGCTACCTCTGGGTACTGTGTGACCCCAGCCGCTCTCCTCTCTCCGTCGCTGCCCCAGGGCCGCCCACGTTTGGGGGTTCCCGTTACTGGGATTCACTAGGTCTCATCTCCCCTGAACTCCCTGGCGCTTCAGACGGACACGAGCACCCGCGGGGACAAGCTGCTTCCCAGCTTTTGGTGTCTTGTGCCCGTGGTTTTGAGCAAAAGCAGCACCAGCTGCCAGGGTCTGGCTGGGCAGTGGGCGTTGCGCGTGGCCCAGCTGTGTGCCCAGATCCAGGCCCTCCGGGGTCTCTGGAGCAGGGATAGATCCCAAATGGTTTTGGCTGAGCAAGCAGCGTCTCTTTACGCAGCCAGTAGCAGAGGTAAGGCCCGTTAAGATTTCTGGTACAAAAAACGCATGTTTCCAGTCTTACAGGCTGTTCAACAATGCGTTTTTTTGTGTTGTTCTCCACTGGGATGGCATGTTAGACACCTAATCAGTGGGAAGTCTCCCTCCCATGAAATACAGCTAGCATCAGTCACCATCTGATGGGGACAGGTGTGTGTCAAGCGCCGTATCACCTACCCTTCACCGTAAATCCATGAAGCAAAATCTTCCTTCCTTAGAAATGCACATTTCACAGATCTCTTCCCTCCTCCCCTGCAATAGCTGTTGCTCTCGGGCTCATCCTGACCTCCCTCTAGCCGGGCTTCATTTGCACACACAATTCCTGCAGCTGTATTTACCAACAATTTGCAAATGCAGGTTGTTCAATATTAGCATGCCAGCTGCTTTCCAGAGTCCAATTAAAACTGGCTGAACAAACTCAAGCACAGCAGAAAATTCACCATTTAAGACTTCCAGCTTTTGCTGCCGGAAGATTAACAGGCTCTTGGGTCTCTGGATAGCATGTCCTGACAGAACCGGCCAGATAAAATGAGATAATAGCATGGGTTATTTCACAGCCGGCAAACAGTTACAATAGCTGGAGACACACACGCATTCTCACAAACAACGCAAAGCTGGAGACATCATTACACTGTGCTGTACAGTGCGGGGCAGGAGACGTGAGCTGAATCCCTGAGCCGGGTGGAATCTTCTCTGAAAAGAGAAAGGCCCAATAAAGAACACCAATTTCCACTCCGAGCCATTAAATACTCCATGCTGTGAAAGTAATAATAATAATATCCTATCTAGCTATTAAAAGTGTGTTGTTCTTAATGAGGTCTAATGAGGATATCAATTTCCCAGTGCTGGATGGGTGGTGGAGGGGTAGAAAAATACCAGGATGGATTAACCAGCCCTGCGTCGAGGTGGATTTCATCCTGGGTGCAAGAGCCTGCTCTAGCTGCTTCCCAGTCCGTTAAGTTTTCACTCTCAACCTAGTAGGCAACTGACTGCCTTCACTTTGCAAAGAGCTAAAGGTACTTTTCTTAAGCAAACATTATCTGGGCCACTCGTTTCTCCTGGGGAACTGTCCTGGGCAAGGCTGGCTGCAAGGGCCAGGTAGGCTGCATGCCCTTCTGCACGCCCCAGCGATGAAATGAAGTCCTTCCCGCGGGTCTTCCTCCAACAGCTAGCCGAGAAGCAGCGCCTTGGGGGAAGAAAAAGAAGTTTCTGCAAGAATAAGGAAGGAAGCAGCAGTTGGCTGGTGAGCTTTCCCCAGCCTGGCACAACCCGCAGCATTTCACGGCACATCTCCCCCTCCACTGTTCACACCGTAGCGAACGTTGCCCAGCTGCAGGGTTCGAAAGAGATGGCCTTGCAAAATAATCCCAGAGAATCAAAAATAATCCCTCCCAGGAAGCCGCGGCCTGGTAAATCACTCCTCCCTGCTTTCGTTTTCTTTTGCAACTCAAAAGGACATCAGAAATGCTCACATGCAGCAAAGAAACACCAGGGTGGGGGCTATTTCCTACACAGGCTGTATGCACACGGTGGGAGGGAATATTCTCTTTCAGCTGATGCAAAGTTGAAGTTTGGCTCCCATCAAGCTCATGCAGGCACTGCCTGACCATCTTAGCAGTGATGAAATAGCTGAGTCATAAAACCCTCCCCTTCCAAAAAAAAAAAAAAAAAAGTGTGGGGGCAGGGGAAGGAACTGGGGAAAAAAGGAAAAAAAAAAAAAAACAGAGCAAGGTCTGTAATGGAAACACTAAGCGACTCCAGCTGGAACATCTGTTCAATGTGATTTCCATTCCACCAACCACATCAAAGTCAGCCTCCTGTGAGTTATGCGCCGAACATCACAAGTGGGATTAAAATCATGTTTAATAGTTTGATATGCCATAAACTATTTATACTGCTAGAGCCCAGTGGCTCTATGGAAATGCACATCCAGCATGCCGGGATGGGGAGGAGCAGGGTTATTGCTTATCCAAAGCCATTTGCTCCAAGCCTCTGCATACACATGTGCAGTTGCTCATTTTTGCACCCTTTTTTTTTTTTTTTTTTTTTTTTTTTTCCCCACAGCAAGAAGGTATTTGACTGCATCTGTGCTTTTTGCAGGAGGTGGGAGTAGAAGGAAAGCGGAGAGGGTCTGTGGACCAGGGTGAAGAGCAAAATGAGGGCCACGTCGCCGTGTTGGAGGGTCCCCTGCTGTGTTTATCCTTGTAGCGCTGGAGTGTTTGATTCCCTTTCGTGCTTCCCGCCGGGGAGCATGAAAGCCCAGAGCTGAAGAGTCTGCTCCCACCTCCTCATCCCTCTTGATTTGGCCCACAGGCTGCTTTTGGATTCAGAGTAGAGGTTTGGAAGGGCTTGTCCGGGGGCCCAGAGGGGAAAAGGAGCAGCGCAGGAGCCAGCCCGGTGCCGGCAGCCCGGGGAGCCCAGCCCCTGACCCAGCCAGCATTTCCCAGGTGCTAATTTAAACTGGAGGGAGCGTTGGGGATCGCTCGGGTGCCTCGCGGGCTGCGTGGCTGGCGAGGAGGGATGCTGGTCCCCCGGTGCGAGCGTGCTCGCAGGGATACGCGGTACCTGGCCGCGCGAGCATTTGCATGCACGCTCTCCTCCCGGCCGCCTGTAGGCTGGCTCTCTCCGATACCATCATTCAAATTAATTACAGGAAGCCAGGCAGGAATTATAATTGTAACCGAGTGGAATTACATTCTGATGAGTTACAATTTGTGTCTTTTTTTTTTTTTTTTTCCTTTTCTTTTTAGTTTAAAATACCCCAAAACACACTCGCACACACCAGCCCAGGCTATCCGCAGCACCTGCTGCCTTGCGGGGAAGCTACCGCAATATTAGAAGGCCCAATCCCATTTGTGAGAGGCAAGATCAAAGACTTTAATTCATTTCCTTTGCTCTTCCTTTTTTTTTTCTTTTTAATCTCCTTTTTTTTTTTTATTATTTTGAGTGCAGGAGGGAGCCGGGCTCATTTTAATACAAAGAGGCTCCTCTGTAAATCGTAGGCACAGCTACTAAACCATCAAACAATGGGGAAGCTACTAAAGAGAAGTGTGATTCATACTTAACAAAGGAAGGTGATTAGCTGTTGTTGTATAACAATAGGGAAGTGTCAGGATGCCTGCAAATGAATTAGGAGCCCACTATATATCTCTGGGCTGTTATGTTAGGGAAGCTTATTTATATTCCCAACTGCGCCCATCTTTATTGTCATTTGAATTGCACATTTTAAAATGAAATTAGGGTAAATTGAAAATACCTATAATTTCCCCGTCATAATTTCCCATCAAGAAGGCAGGTGGCTTTGCTCGCAACAAAGTGGGGCTCTGGCTGGGGAAATATCTCAGGGCCTGATGCCGGGGGGGGGGGGGGTCACAGGTCGCCGACCCGCTTTCTCAGCACCCGGCAGAATTTGTGCTTTCCTCCCCTCCCCTGCAACGCTGCCAGCGCTCGCCCGCCCTTCCCGCGCCTTCGCAGACAGCGCCGCTTGTTCCTCCTCAGCTCCTCAACAGCTGAGGTTTCATCTGCTGCCGTTACCTTTGCAAAGGGGGGACCCGGGGGGGGGAGGTGGCAAACAAGCTCTTCTCGCGGCGGTGCTCGCAGCTAGAGCCCGGACCCTCGTGCAGAGGTGCTGAGCGGTTGCCAGAGAGCCAGATCTCTGCCCCAGGACCCTGACTTGGGGATGGTGGGGGAAGCTGGTGGGGCAAGAAGCCGTCAGGGAAGCTCTCGTGCCCATGAGACACCTCAGCGCTCCTCGGGCTCGCCGTAGAGCCGTGGCTGCGCCGCATCCGAGCAGTAAATCGAGCGTCGTGGCCACCTCCGACCCTGCCGGCGCTGACCCCAATTCCCCGGTGCCTGCCCGGGCATGACACTGAGGGGGGGTCCCCCCCCCCGGGTCAGGGGGTACCGACCAGCTTCGCTTCCCTCACTTCAGCGGCGGTGACCCTCAGCCCCGTCTGCTCGGGCGCTGAGCTGCTCAGCTGCCGCCTGTCCCCGTTCTCCAGCTGGGGAGGATGTTGCTGAGATATTTAGGGAGAGGAGGGAGGCAGCAGGTGGAGGCGAACGCCTCACGTGGCCTATTTTAGGGTGTATTTTTGCATGTGAGGCATCAGACTCCCACCTTAAGGGCAGGAGAGCTCAGCTGGGTCATGAGCTGGCCTCACATACTCTCTGCAGCCCCAACGCAGTCTGCAACGGGACAGCTGGTTCTTCAGGCACCTAGAAAACCTCTCCATGAGGCCGTTTCTTTCTGCCTTTTCCCTCAAATTAAGCCCCATCCTTAAAATCTAAAGCTGGAGGCCTACCACCCCCCTCTCGGACATCACGAAAAATTAAAACAACCCTGGATATTCCTATTCCTCATCTAAACACTGCACCCTTCGCTTGCTTTCATTGGTTCTCTCCTAAATTTGGTTCGCTGCTAAAGCCTTTAATTGCTTATCATGTAAAAAGAGGAAGAGAGATCGAGCACCAGTTGGAAGAACCGAAAGGCCTGTGACACCAATAAGGACTCGGCAGAGATGATTAGGCTGATGAAAGAGCAGAAATGCCACTTTCAAGTTAGCGGATAGACAAAAGATCATCATTACACAGGGAGATATTAAATGGGAGCTTTTCAAAGCAGGCAAGTTTATTTCCTTAAACGGGAATCAGAGCTGGAGTTAATGTTTTTGAAGTGAAATGCCACATTGAATAGTGTACGTGACTTCCCTTTCTGTCTTATTTACTGAAGCCCTCCAAGACGGGAGCAGTGTGCCTGACATGATCCTGTCTTACAAAGCCCTGCACGTTCTGTCACAGCACCAAGGAGTCTCGGAGTTTTTGCCATGTTTTCTTCTGACCAAATTTTTCTTCCCAGCCTCAGAAGCCTGGCAGACAGCGGGCGAGGGGGACGCTGCGCCACGTTTTCGGGTTGCTTATGGGCTTGTCTCTCTCTCTTTGCAGACCCACCCCTGGTGAACTTGTCCGTGGAGCCGCAGCCGGTCCTAGAAGACAACACTGTGAAGTTCCACTGCTCCGCCAAGGCCAACCCTGCTGTCACCCAGTACAGGTAAGGCGGCCGCCCCGCTCGCTGCCACCGCACATCTCGCCCCAGCCCTCCCCCGAGAGCTCCTCGTGCAAAGTAATTTCCTTCGGGCCACCCAAGAGTGCTCAGCGGCCCTCACCGCAGTTTTTGGTGGCTATTCAGCTTGCTCCCGTGGTTATTGCTGCTCCGTGGTCGTTCTGGCTCATCCCCGTGGGCTCTGCTGTCCTCCAGCCAGAGGATGCGATGGCTGGAGCCAGACGCAGCCCCTGCTCCCCGCAGGGCAGCAGAAACCTGCAGTGGCACGGTCCCACGTCCCAGCATCCTGGCTCCCTGGCGCTGCTCTTGCCTTGACGATGTTGTTACACGTCGAGAGGCTCCAACTGCCTCCGCGTGAGGGCCGTCTGCTACGTTTTGCTGCATGCAGCAAGTCCTCGGTCAGAGATTCGTTGGCGCTTTGGAGTGGATTAAGAGGCCTGGCACCGAGCTGGCAGAGCCATCTGTTTGGGGACATAACGAGCAAAGCGCGCCGAGTGAAAAGTCTATTATGGGAAAATTCCTTTTTTTTTTTTTTTTTTTTTTGCATACTCTTTTATGATTTGAACAATACAGCTCCACTACCATCTCTGTGTAACCCTTAAGCAACTGCCGTAAGCCTCTCTAACCCCAGCAGCATGGAGCAGAGCTCAGAAGGGGCCAGAGCAGAGGTGCCTGGGCTGAAGACGTGGGGGTATGTAGGGGATGAGCTCTCCTCGAGTGGGACATTGTCCTTGTGTGGATAGGGTCATCATTACCTCCTGGGACCTTCAGTGAGAGCTCCAGGTGAGCAGATGGCTTTGCACCGAGCAGAGTCGCCGCCGCGGGCTCTTGGGTATGGGTATGAGGGCTGCTGGCATCGGAAAACACCCCTTTTCTGAAAGGTTTCTCAGTCTAAGCAGTCAAAAATACAGGTGTGGTAAGCGGGGTGGGTTGCCATCACACTTTGGGAGAAGAAAGCATCGTGCTCAGCCTCCTGGTAAGCGGGGTGGGTTGTCATCACACTTTGGGAGAAGAAAGCATCGTGCTCAGCCTCCTGGTAAGCGGGGTGGGTTGCCATCACACTTTGGGAGAAGAAAGCATCGTGCTCAGCCTCCTGGCTCCAGCTCTTGGGCAGGGGGGCCCATGTCTGAGCCAGCACAGAGACATTTCACAGGAACCAGGAACACCCCGGCCCCACTGCTGCAATCAGCCGCTCCTCACTCCTGCCTTGAAGTTACGAGTGCGCACGCACCCGCATGCAATCAGTTCTGTTTTTGCAACAGTGTCAGTTGATAATAACAGAGGAGGCACCTCCGGGGACAGGTTACCATGACCCGCCTCCTGTTAGGCTCGTACAGCTTAATTAGTACAATCGAGTTTGCTGGTAGGAATGATTCCTTCCGGCTGGATATCTGCTATCAGCACAACAAAGCAATAATTGCGTTCCTGGTTACACAGAAGAGTTATTAATTTGAGAAGTCAATTAATGTCAAAGATACAAATAGCCCTGTTTTCATATTTACAGTTAGGAGGAAAATGAAGCGCGTGACAGTCTGGACGAACGTCCCACGTGGGTCTTATGCCGTGATTGATTCTGGTACATTCAAAGGCAAGCCTTTGGCCAAGGAACCAGCCCGTGGCAAGAGCCTGACAAAGTTTCTCCTCCAAAGACAGGGCATCTAGCCTGATCCTCGGCAACAGAGGCTTCCACATCACCCCTGAACCCGCCCTGGGCTAATCCCCTCCACTAGAGGAGACTTGAAGACTCCAGGCTGGTTTTTCTCCTTCCTCTTGGCTGTTCCCACCTTCTGGGTACATGGCCAGAACAGTGCTGGGTTGCTTTTCTCCACCAAATAGCCACGCTTCTCCTGTCTTTGGGGCCGTCTCGTTAGCGCAGGGTCTTGGCTGTCCCGCTCGCAGCCCTCCTCTTTCCCTCTCCCCCAGCCCACGGCCACGTGCCTTCTCCCCCTTCCCCTTGCCTGAGCACCAGGATTTCTGCTTTGCCGCAAAGTGCTTCGCGACTCGTTTGCTGATGGACTGTACTATCAAAACCAATTGCACTTTTTTTTCAGGTTATGCTTTCTCATAAGAGGGATTGGGTCGGGGGGGTGGGGGGGGGCGGGGAAAGAAGCATGAAAAATTCAGTAACTTTGAGGTTTTAATTTCTTACGTTCCTTTAACCTGCTAACATCACACAAGGTTTTTACCTTACCACTGTGACAAGCAAACAGGATTCAGCAGCGCTCGGCAGGGCTTCCTTCCGCTTAATGGCTCTGATTGATTGCCAGGGGGATTTATTTCCCTTCCAAAAGATCCCAGAGTTCTTCACTAACCGTGAAAAGGTGGCAGATGTGTTGGGACTGAAGCTTGGAGTCCTCCAGAGCGGGACATCCGAGCAAGGAGCCCCCTGCACCCCACCTCTGCCGAGGAGGGAAGGTGGGTAAAGGAATGGGATGTGTAAATCCCCAGGACTGAGATACTTGGAGGTGTGAAAAGGCAGAACATGAGCTCAGTGTCATCCCCAGGGCCACTCAGGACCCCATCTCTGATGAAAATTAATTTATTTTGCCTTAAAAACAAACAATAGAGAGAAAGTGTGATTTATTTTTTTACCCTAACCAGGGAGAGAACCTCTCTGGTATATCTCCTATGCTTCCCTCATCCCCAGATAGAGACACCAGATCTTGGTCTTCAGCCGACATTTATTTTTAATACCTCCCAATGTTTGTCAGTAAACAGCTCTGAACACAAAGGAAAAATGTCTAAACAACGTAAATCCCCTTTTCTAGTGATAAATCCACAGCCAGCTCCACAGGGCCATCCCTGCTTCAAATACATGAGCAAGCTGTCACCTTGCTTGAATTTGCAAGGAACGATATGTTTTGCATCGGGTTTGCACCCCGGGTTTTTCTGACCTGGAAAAGCAGGTGAGGCTGAACATTTGACCCAAAGGCTTCACCTAAAGATGCTCGGCTGGGCAGCATCCATGCACTGTGCTGCTCGTTAGCAAGAAGCTGCTAAGCCAACCCCGTGGTCCTGCCAACCTGGGGTTTTAAGCACAGACCCCTCACTCTCTTTGTTAGGGTGGTAAGGGAAGAGAAATAAAATTTAACTCAATTTCCCAGGAGGCAAAAATCCCCCTCTACCCCTACCCAAAGCCCCCACAGAGGTTATAGTTTTGATTAAATTAAGGCAGCTGCATTTTCCTTGAGAGGTTTTCTTCGTGCTCTCTTATGTAATAATACATCATATATGTGTGGTTTTTAATGCAAGGAAAACCTGGTTAGAAAGGAGACCTCAGAGCGATCTCCTCCCAGAGCCAGAGTGGAAAGTTACAGCCTGCACCACATCTCTTCTGGGGAGCGTTTAATGACATTTTGTCAAAATTGACAGGTTTCCATGAAATGTTTGGCCTCGCTGGCATTTTCTAACGAGAGAAAAAGCCAGAACCTCTCTGCCTTAAAAGATTTGCCGGCATCTCATGATGCTGGGGGGCAGGCAGGGCTGGGGCAGGGTATCCTTTGCCGGAGACACGGTTCCTCCGCTCCTTTTCTTAGCTGAGGACATCCTGCAGCCAAAGCTGGAGCTGAAATCCCAACCCTTCTCCCTCTCTGGCAGCAGCGATTCCTTGACAAGGAGCATCTTTTTCCCCAGGGGGGTTTGTTCACCCACGATGTCGCCTGGGCTGTCACTCGCTTTTGGATGTGGGACAGGCCAGTGTCACCATAAGCAAGGGGAGGGAGCTGGGCAGAGGGCTGGCGAGGCGTCGCAGCGGTGTGTGAGCAGCATTTTCTTGGCATAGGGATGAATTAAACCTGGCAGCAGGTGTTTTGCTCATTTTCATGTTTTCCCTCTCACCATACAGAGCAATCTTTGCACAGGCGTACCCTATGGCCTTCGTAGGGTCTTAAACCCCACCTGGCCTGGGTTTTTCCCCCCTTCTCCGGGGAGCGTGTTCCTTTTGCAGCTAAAGAGCAACTCAGCCCACCAAAACGCTGCTCCACAGCTCCTCGCAGTGCTCCACAGCACCTGCTGCTCGAGAAAGGCTCACGGGGAACCCGGGCTGCACCTCCACGGAATGTGTCCCCACCTGCTTTAGCACCGTGGGCTTTTCCCGGCGTCCCCAAAGGCTGGCGGGGGAAAACCTCCTCTTCCTCTCCCTTTGCCTCGAGCCGCTGCCCTGCCTGCACCAGCTCGTTTGCAGGCAGAGCGTCAGGCAGCCACGGTGCCCGGCCGGAGGAGCAGCGGCAGCGGAACGGTTGCACCAGGCAGCGAGCATACGTGGGGGCAAATTGCACCGCCTCGTCCTCCTCTAATAACGCGCTTCCCGCGCGCCTCGGCCTCTCGGTGGACAGTTCTGGGGTGGGGAGGGGGGGGGGGGGGGTTGGAACTGGGGAGTTTGCTGACTTTCTTTTGCTGCAAGCAACCCGGCAAGAAAGGGAGAGAGAGTAATTAGCTGTCGCCGTTGTTCTGCCACCTGTGATGGCGGGTAAAATTAATGGGAAGCAACAGAAGTCGGGGCTACGTGAACCGACTCACAACCAGGCCTCCTCTTTGCTCACTTCAGATCTCTCTATTTGCCAATCTTCTCTTGGCTTTTGATGTCTGTTGTGTGTCTGTGGGGTGTTTTTTTTGCTGTTATTATTTATCACTCGCAGTAAGAAAGGGAATCTTTAAAGTGGCAGAAGAAAATGGGAAAGTTTAATATTGCAAGAGGCAGAGTCCCTCAGCCTTTTGGGCTCCTCCGATGATGATTATTTTTGCAGAGCGATGGGGAGTTGGTGCAGGCAGGGCACTAATGCATATCTCAGTCTCACGCGTTGATACAGTGCTCTCGACCCCAAGGCTAGCAGAGACCTTTGCAAATAATGTTATCTTTGTAGGCACAGAAGGGGGGACATTTCAAGCCACCCTCCAGCATCAGCTGCGGTTCTGGGGACTATTGCACTGCCAAAACAAGGCGTGGGGCTGACGGACAGACAAACAGACATAGTTGGAAAGAGAGGGCT